CTTCAATTGTCTTGAGAACAATATTTCTAGTTTTCTTTTCTCGCATTCTCTTGTTCTTTGAACCGATTGATTTCCAACTCATGTTCCCTCAACTTACCAAAAAGTGAAGCGGTAGTCATTTCAGTCAAGTCTCTTGATTCGATATTGCTTGTCACCTTTGGTTGCCATGTTCTCGTCCAAACACTTTAAAATTTTGATGTTCAACTCTTCTTTGTCAAAAGTCTTTCCTAACCCAATTAGATGATTGACTATGTGCGTGAACCTTTTCTCGCACATCCGCAATTGTTTCTCCTTGCTCGCATTTTAAACAACTCATAGTCCCCGATTAACTCATGCTTTCTTGCCCTTTTCACATCGGATGTTCCTTCATGTGTGACCTCTAAAATTTCCCACATCTCTTTGGCAGAGGCACACCGAGACACCCCGAAAAACTCATCAAGATTTAAAGCAGAGGTAATAATATTTTTTGCAGTATAATCATATTGGACTCTCCTATTTTCTACATCGGTTAATTCAGCCCAATCTTTTTCAACTACTTTACCATCTACCGTATGAGTTGGTTTGTAAGGACCATTAACAATTGTTTCCCAAATGCCTCTATCAAGAGATTCAATAAAGATTTTCATTCTAACCTTCCGAAAAGAATAATTCACACCGAAAAAAAGTGGAGGCCTGTTTATGGAGGCTCCTTCTGAAAAAGTCATCTTTCCCTCAGCCATTGGACCGATTTCTTGAGTAACTTACAAGAACCAGCTTCGATACCAATTGAAAGAATTAATGGTTGAGTTCAAGAGGGGGGTGAATTGAAATTTAAAACTTTTTCGCAAAACTTACTTTCTTTTGGAAGAATGAGTTATCTTTATTCAATCTTTGCAAAGGTAATTTGGTTTAAACACAAGCACAATTAAAGACGAAAATTAAAAGAGATGAAAGAAGAATATTAACACACAAATTTATACTCGGTTCACTCTAATCCGGAGCTACATCCGAGTTCTTGACAAACCAGTCAAGTTCCACTAATACCAAGTGAAAAATACAACCAGTAGATACTCACCAATCTACCCCAAGAACTATCTTGCAAAACCCACAAGACAGAATCTTGAAAACCACCCAAGTAACCAAATCCAAGTCATTGTACCAAGTGCATATTACAATCCAACCTGCACAATCAAACTTTTACAAAAGAATATGGAAAGAAAAAACCTGGACTTGAAGTTTCTAATTGTCCAGAACCAATTCTAACAACACTTTCTCTCTTTGAATGACCACAATTCGATCACAAGCACCTTATGATATGAAAAAGATTCTTGAATGCAGAGAAAGTCACGTATGAAAGATTCACAGATTGATTTCACAAGTTTTCTCAAGTAGTGTATTGTATTGTGTATTTCAAAAGATAGATCAAATCTGTATATATAGAGTAAATCGGAAAATCAGAATGCTTCAACTGTCAAAAACCGTTTCGTAGAGTCAAAAGATCGATTAGTTTAAAGTAAAACAGTTTAGAAGAGACTCGATCGATTAGAATTGAAGTATGATCGATCAGACCGAGTTATGATCGATTAAAACTGAAGTATGATCGATCAGACCGAAGTTATGATCGATTAGAATGAAACTATGATCGATCGTAATATTTTTTAATCGATTAAAATATCGATTCAATCGATTGATTTCATTTAAAGCTCCATTCAATCGATTAAAACATTGATTCAATCGATTGATTTCATTTAAAGCTCCATTTAATCGATTGATTTGAGTTTTTAATGGATTGAAACAACTTAATGAAAATGACGAGCTTCTTCGTTTCAATCGATTGAAAGTCATTTCAACAGATTGAAATCCTGCAAACACTTAGTTAAAAAAATAGTCTCTCCGTTTTAATAGATTGAGAAATATTTCAACAGATTGATTTTCTAAAAAACTCTTAGATCGAAAAATGTCTTTCTGTTTCAACAGATTTAAAAATATTTCAACAGATTGAAAATGCGAAACTTGATATTGAAAATTCATTGAGTTATTTTAACTTGTTGATTCCGTGAATCAATCAATTGAAAAAAAACGATTATGTATGATCACTTATTCTTTTAAGTAATTTTAACAGATTGAAAATCCTTTTCAACAGATTGAAAAACTTAGTTTGATCTTTTAATACTTAGATGTTAGTTTTTCATGCGAAAAATGATTTTCAATGGGATGCAATATTATAAGGTGCTTATCACGTAATATATTGTCCTATCAAGAGATTAAGTGCTTAAACTAAAAAACCTAATCATCTACACACCCACAACCTAAGCTATATCTATGTCTTCATCAAAACCACCAAGTGCTTGTCTTCATCAAATCCACCAAGTGCTTCAGAACCACCCCGCAGTCGCACCACATCTTAGCTTTCAGCCTCCAGATTCTCGCCCAATCACCCTCATCGGAACCACCACATCTCACGACCGCGGACCCCCCTTTTCGCAGAAACCCCATCTTCGCGGCCTCCACCACCATCTTCACGATGCACCGCCATTGTGAGGTCGTCGTCCCCTTCGTCGAGCCACCGCAAGGCCAAGTCGCAGTCGCGGCCTCACCCTAATCCAACCTCCACCAAAGCCCCTCGTCATCCACGACAACCACCACCATCGAGCGTCCCAACCCCCACTCCTCACCACTAACGTCTCCACTATGCTCCACTTCCCTCCTGTGTTGAATCTCTCCCTTCGCCCCAAACCACCGCGCACCACTGCCCATAGCCGGCCACCGCGAACCCAGCCACAAATCAACCTCCGAGTCGGGACGCCACCACACCCCCGTCGCGCAAGCATCCCCGCGGCACTGGAACTTGAGTCACCTCGACGTCGGCTGCGGTCACCGCCTCTCCTCGCTCCAGCCCACCCCCATTGTGCCACTGAGCTCGCTATGAGCTAGATGTGAGATATAGAGGCAGCGAGTTAAGCCTGGTATTATGCTTTAATCCTATTTCTTTCACATTTTTTGGAGTCTGAACTGTTCTGCTTAGTTAACTATTAAGCCCGGGTCTAGTTTATTTGCATATGAATCATTGAATTGGTGGCTCTGTTAGTTGAATAAGATCTTGGTTTATTAAGGTTTTTTGTACCGTTATTTCTGTTTAGTTTGGCTTGAATCTGTGGTTTTCACTTGATGAGGTTGAGACTGGTGTTATCCAAGTCCTATTGGCTTGGTTCATGTCTCTGTGGCTTAGTTTCTTGGTGGGTGAGTTAAGAATGTGTTTCCACCTTACAAATGCTTCATAATCATGACCCCAAAAAACTTACATTATGGCCATATAAAATCCATTTAGGATTAGTTTTAGCAGTAAAACTTACATTATGTAAGCTGATTCAGTATGAATTTGTTATGATGAAGATAATATTTTCATAATGTTCTATTAGTATGTTGCTGATTAAGAATCATCAATGTTGAAAAGGTATGAATTTGTTATGATGAAGATATTCTGTTTTCCTAATTCATCAAACCATCTCGCTTCAAACTGCTGTTGAAAAATTCTTATAATCGCACACCGTAGTAAGTTAGCTAATGATTAAGTTAATGTGAAAAGGCCAAGTTAAAATGATTGGAAGATCAATCCTAGGTTCGGACAAGATGAACATTTTGATGGAACTTTTCATAGTAAAACGTTGCTTGGGTAAATGCATATTGCTTGTTTATATTTTCAAAAGAATGGAAACCAAACTTCTCCACCGGTTTCGTTCGCAGTTGAATATTCTCGGTGGTTGAGAATGGAAGATTAGGTCATAAGTTAGAAAATAAAGGGAAGGGAAGTGGATACTCATGAATACCCCGATATGCCTTCAACTCCGGTGGGTGCTTGGAGTCAAATTTAACTAAACTCAACTTTGTCGGCTTGTTGGATATTTTGAATTTCTTTAGCGTATCCGTAAGTTGATAAAATATTTTTTATGGATATGGTTGTTTAACCGATGAATGTAATTGTTTCCATGTGTGCTTGTGAACAAATCATGCTACTTAACATGCCTCCATGGCCCCTCTCCTCCATATTCCTGTTATGCTTAGATTAATTGACCCATGCATTTAGTTCTGTGTCATTCTGACTTAATTATTGATGAGTAAGTAGATTCTGTTTGTAAAAATATTACATCATATATGTGAACACAGTTAATCCCCATGTTAGTTGTTAGAACATTAAGCATGTACAATGAAATTTTACCGGGACAATTTGAATTTTGTTATATATTTTTTGTGTGAATCTTGTGTGCTTCTCAATAGAAAATCCTCTCTGCTGAAGACCTAATTTGTAAATGTGTCTTCTCAGTTGGGGTGCATTGGTTTTTACTTTTCTGTTTAATTGTTCTGTACCATGGAATGCTTTAACTTAGCTCTTGTTATCATACTGTTGTGTGTTCAACAGTTACAAAAACTAGTTCAATTACTTTCTGTTTACATGAACCTATTTTAGAGAGGGAGAAATATATTGTACCTTCAAGTACTATCTGATTGTTAAGTGACATTTTTGTAGTTGCTGTGGAACTGGCTACGTTGTATACAATCACCTAACTTATGACAGAACAATCATACATAACAAATGGAAGATATACACATCATACATAATATACAACACAATGTTCATTATCTTATGACAGAACAATCACCTAACTTTTTCTTCAATAATGCTAAATTGGGAACAGGATAATGTTAAGCAGTGGAATAAAAAAGTCATTTTGCGCAATTGGTATGAGATATATGTAGATCAATTTATCAGTTCAATCCAATTATGAGTGATTTTTTTTCTTATTGCGACACATAATTTAGAGCGTATGGGTGAGGAGGAATGAGCAGCAAACCTTTCAGCTGTTTGAAGAGCAAACAGCATATAAAAAACTGCTTTGCACAATTTATTGGGTTATTGTTACTTCAAAAAGTATATTAGAAGTCAGCTTGAGCAACAGGATAAAAAATTGTTCTTGTTAATTAATTTCCGACATGGTCATACTCGCACTCTAAAAATGGGAATACTACATTGAAATGAACCAAATCACTTGCAAAGATTTCGATTTTGGCTTAGCCAAATTGTGTTCCAAGAATCGTAGTTTGGTGTCCATGACAATTGCTAGAGGAACCTTGGGATACATTGCACCTGAAGTTTTCTCCAGGAACTTCGGAAATGTGTCCTATAAGTCTAATATTTACAGTTACGGAATGTTGCTGTTAGAAATGGTTGGAGGAAGGAAGAATGTAGACATGTCATCCGCACAAAATTTCCATGTTCTGTACCCAGATTGGATCCATAACTTGGTTGATGGAGACATACACATCAATGTAAATGTCCCTCCATGTCTCATTCCAATAAGGGGAAAAAAGTAACGAAACGAAAAAAACCACGCTATATACTTAAAGTAAATGTCCCTCCCCCACCCGTAGCTCCTGCACCTATACCTTCTTCATCTGCAGGTGCTGAGAATATACATGCCCATACAAACAATATTGCACCTACAACCACTTCTGCCCCATCCCCAGTTGATGCACCCAACCCTAGTCCATCACCTGTCATTGCATCAGCACCTTCCCCAGGAGCTACATTGCCTTCAGTATCATCAGTACCATCACCACTACCTTTGGTCTCACCTACATTACCCTCAAGGTCTCCAGCACTATCACCATTATCAGTGCCTTCTAGAGTCCATCATACACCAGCTGGGGAAGACCAAGAAGTGCATATTCAGGAAGGTGATGCACAATCAAACATTGAGGAGGATCATCCACTTGGCACTAATCTTCCTATCATATCACCTTATGGTCTAGGGTAAGAATGAAGTTAAAATTATATCATTCCCATTATTTGCAAGTATTAGGAAATTGTGATTATTATTTAATTTAATTATTTGGAGAAGGTTTCATCCATGTCGGGTTGCATCACAAGCTATAACAATGACTATTAAGCAACAATATTCTAAGCCATGGCTGACATGGGGTTCAATGACCGATGTTGAAAAAGAGACATTCTTTCAACGATTTAAAGTAAGTTTTCTTATATTTAGGCTGATGAATTATTTTTTATTACTTACATTCATTGACACAATTATTATTATTTGTTTTTTTGTGTAAATCATTTGCAAAGAGAAAGGTCACCTGGAGACCTGAAGATGAGGATAGGATTCGAAAGAATTTTCACTCAAAGGCCTCACATAGGCTATCTGAAATGTTCAAAGATGCTAGAAGGACAGGTCAAAAGCCCTATTGGATGTTTGATGATGTGTGGAAAACTCTGTTGAACAACTGGAACTCAATTGATTATCGTGCAAAGTGTGCACAAGCTCAGAAGAATCGATCTTCTGAGACGGGTGGTAGTTTACACACAGGTGGTTCTATTAGTATGCATGAACACGCCATTCGAATGGTAAATATGAAATTATAACAAAATTTTCTTTCTTTCATTTCTTCATGATATGTTATTAATTAATTTTTTTTCCAGGAAAAGGAGTTGGGTCGTCCTGCACATATTGATGAGGTGTTCAAATAGACTCATATACGAAAGGTTAATGGTGAATTTGTTGATGAAAGGTCTAGAAAAACTCATGTGAGTTGTGAACTTATTTAATATTACTCTATTACTCTCTTATATGTTATGATGGATATGTGTTGTATATCGTACATAATTTTTATTTGTATGTGAATAGGAAGAATTTCGGAGAAGATACTCTCGAGGCTAGATCCGAGGCGAGCATCCGTCTGTCTTGAAACCGAGTCATCTCCATTAGATCCTATAGAGGAGGAGAGAATAAGGACTGAAAGTTGGATTCTTGCTGCATCTAGCAACAAAAAGGGTCGGATCTACGGTGTTGGAGAACTTGCCCATAAGTTTAGGCCTGGAGATACCCTCTCATATTCAAGCATCTACCGATTCTCGTGAGATTACACAATTAAAGAAACAAGTGCTTAGTTATAGGGAGGATAATGAAAGATTGAACCACCAATTACAAACACTTGTCGGTGTTGTCCTTCCTTTACTTCCACCTGATGCCCGACAAGCATTTCAACAACAACATTCCCAACAAGGATCACAACAACAATCACAACAGAGAGCAGCAAGAGCAGCGAAGAGCGACGAACAACAATCACAAAATCAACCAGACTTTCAGTAGAGCAGCCTCAAGATGAACAAGGACATTACTATAATTATTAGGACACTCAAACAATATTGTCATAATATTTATTATAGTACTTCTTTGGATTTGTATGTTCTTAGATATTTCAAGGACTACTTGATGCATGCTAATATTATGATTTGTGTTTGATATCTCGAATATGCATTTGGTGCATATAAATATTATGGAATATTGTTAAATTTGATATCTAAATATTTTATGTGTAATATGCATGTAACAGGTAAAATTTAGTTAAATTGGTGGTGATAAAATTGTATAAATTTACCTAGTGATTTTCCTACGGATTTACATACGGATTTTGAATGAGGTAATTACCTACGGATTGCAATCCGTAGGTAATTACCTACAGATTCTGTTCGTGGGTAATTACCTACGGATTGCAATCCGTAGGTAATTACCTACGGATTCTGTTCATGGGTAATTACCTACGGATTGCAATCCGTAGGTATTTACCTACGGATTGCAATCCGTAGTTAATTACCCACGGACGACATTACCTACGGATAGTAATTTTGTAGGTAATTACCTACGACCATATTACCTACGGATTTTCTACGGAAAAAAATCCGTAGGTAAAATGACATTACCTACGGATTTTTACCATTACCTACGGATTTTTGCTGTAGGTAATAGGCTTTTTTTTTGTAGTGAACGTGGTTATTAATGAGGTTTAGACATGAATAGAAAGAAGAGAAGTAGATAGTAAGAATGACATTCTTTGTAATTAATGGGGAAATATGTGCCCTACAATGCTCGGGGGTCGGGCTAGCCCCGAGGAGTAATCTCTAATAGTCATTGGATTTACAAACCCTAAGAATTAGAAGGAGAACACCTAATGACTAAAGTCGCTTTTGACGCTTGAACCCCTCTATTTGGGAAAATCTGATTCAAGGTATGGAGGGGAGACTTCCCTTTTCTCCGTGCAGCTTGATCCTTCAAAGGATTGTCTTTAAAATCTGGTGGCTCCCTTATTTCTTGAGAGTTTCTAATGAGCCCTTGGTTTGGGCAACATCCATATTTCCTCATCATGTGGGTCACCTTCATATTGTTGGGGAAGTCTTTTCATATTGGCAAAAGATATTTCAAAGGTCCTTTTTCAGTCGCATCCATTCAAGGTAGGGCAAACGACTTGCTGATCAGAATGTCGTCTCTAGCTCAAACTGTGACTAGCTTGTCGCCTACACTGAGTTTGTTTCGGAGCGTTGAAAGAATTGCCTCAGCGTCGTGAATCCAAAGTCTCTTCAATTTCCTTTTTGGATTATGTTTTTCTTCGGTCTTATTATTTTTTCCTTTATTCTTGGGAGCATTGTCTCGTAGCTCCTCGGGGGAGTAAATTTTTCCATTTCTTGTTGTGCCCCCAATGCCGGCTATGCTGGAGATATCTTCATTGATGAACGATGTTTATGTGTATCTCCATGGTGTAACCTTATTTGATGTATGGGGTGAACAAATGTAATGACATCCTTGCCCCCTCTCCTTTATTTACTCAGATGACCAACGGTTGATGCTTGTTATCCTCCTTGGGCGGATCAACCATTGGAGAGAACTTGATGACGAAAGGCTTACTCTCCATCTTATTCCGATTCATGGGAAGCACATCAATTAATCCTTTCTTTTTTATTATCTTATTATTATTAAAGTGACAATGAATGCAATTTATGAATGCAATAGACGTTTGAAGAGATGATGAAAACAAACAATTTTATTTATTTCATCCAGACAGTGTACATTCATCAATGCAATGTTTCGAAGTACACATTTTTTTTTGTCCTTCCGTGTATGGCACGCGAATGCCCTGTCGCCGCCGTCCCTTTCCGACGTCTGAGGATGTCTCGAACGTCTATGCGAGCGGTCGCGAAAAGATGGTTTAGACTCGCGTATTTGTTTTAAAATGTGTTCATTGCTTCCGAGGTGTTTGACAATTGAATTATCCTCTAATAAAAGCAAGGTTTTCGAAAAGGGGTTCTTATGGAGTCGCCACCAATATTTTGACCAGAAACATTGGAAAAGGAAAAAACAAAGGCGTTGATTTTATATAAAAAAAAACAACTTGGCCGTTATAACCAGAGTTGGGTAAGGGAGTTAGTTACGTGTGGGGAAGATGTTAGCACCCCACAACGCCCCTTTCAGGTTCCCTATGACAGATTAATTCATTAAGTGAAGATTATGAGAAATTACGCGATTACCCTATTTTATTGCATAATATTGAAATGACTATCTACATAATTTTATATAAATAAAGCTAAATAAAGCAATAAAAGAGATATTAAAATGGCTATCTACATGATTTTATTCTACATGACATAATAAATAAAATAAAACAATAAATAAAGCAATAAAAGAGAAGGGAATTGAAAAGAACCTCCGTAGCAAGCTTTATATTGATAATCTCGAACTATGAGGCTGCGTTTTGGCAACCCTTCTCTCTATACAGACTCTCCTCACCAATACAAGATCGACTCCACTAAAAATTTAAAGAAGAATCAAATGCCGGAATATAATTCCTTAACCGATTGTTACCTATTTAAGGCAATCGGAAAGATCATTCGAGAGAGGGAGAGAAGTAGACAAGTGCTCTGAGTGTTTTAGAGCTCTTCTGGAGTGTCTGTTGTTCTGAAAAAGTGGCAAATGAGCCTCCTATTTATAGTTTTCGCAGCTGGCGCACCTTGGGACGGCCGTCTAGGTTGGGACGGCCGTCTGGACTGGGATGGCCGTCCCAAATGGCAAATTTACACAGAGTGGGACGACCTGGGGGTCCGGGACGGCCATCCCACTTAAATTGGGTTTGGGACGGCCGTCCCACATGCGGGACGCGCGTCCCAACTGTAAAATGGCAGTTGGGACGGCCGTCCCAACTCTGGGACGGTGGTCTCGGCCTGTTTTGTCCAGTTTTCGCGTTCTGGGACCCCGGGAAGCTTTCCTTTCCTTTTTCGGACATAGATTGACGCCGATGTGTGTCCGTTGAAGCTTTATCTTCATATAGGAAGTCTTCTTGACCTTCATTAAGATGCCGAGCGAGCTTTGTCTTTGTGTAGGAAGTCTCCTTTGGCTTTTATTGTGTGAATGAATGAACTCCGTCTTTTGTTGTGGGAGGTCCTTCTCGTTTTGGGAAGCCGGATGAACTCCATCTTCGGGTGAAGTTCCTCTAGCTTTTATTTTGAGAGGCCGGGCAAAATTAGGGGTCTACAGCTGCCCCCCCTTCACCTGCCTAACTAATTCGTTGGTTTTAATATGCCGACAAAATTAGTTGGTAGGGGAAGGAGTTAACCCTTTTGCCCGGTTATCCTTCGGATGCTGCTCCTTGTTGATCCTCCGTATGATAAATATTTTGATAGGTACTAACCCCTATCTGGTTTGAGCCTCCTTTTATAAGGCTCTGGTGAGTACTTACCCTCACCCGGTACGAGTCTGCATTTTGCTGGACTTTAGTGAGTACCTACCCCCACTTGGTATGAACCTTGTTCTTGCAAGGTTTTGATGGGTACCTACCCCCACCCGGTCTGAACC